GATACCAGTGATACAAAATACCTGCAGTCCTTACAGAAACAATAGAAGACAGACACAGAGTAATCCCTCACAGACAACCAGACACTATGGGAGAGGGATCCAATAAATCTACTGTCTCAGGACTATGGTCCTGGGGGACACCAGACTCAATTGGCACAACAAATACATAAAAGCCTTGCTCTGCATCCTACATTTGTGAGTAGTGACTGGGGTCTTAAAAGCTTTCAAGTGGTCATCTAAGATGCAGCTAATGGTCTCCTAGTGTCAGAAGTGAAAAAGAATGCAAAAGGGGGGGGGGCATTTAGAAGCAATCAGCCCCAGGACATGAAGGCTCTTGAGACTAGAAGAACTAGATGGTGCCCAGTTACCAATGCCAACCACTCAGGAAAGGATCAAAGCTGGAGATCCTGGATAGAGTGGGAGGGAAAACATGGAACAAAATCCAAAAACTCAACAATGACCAGAATTACTGGTCTAATGAAATCTGGTGAGACCCTCAGTACTATGGCCCTGGAATACATTCTATGCCTGGAATAAAACACGCCCTCAGGGGCTGGCTCTCAGCCCAATAGTTAACAAGATGTACATGCAGACCACTAAACCCAGGATAATGCACCCACATAATCTATGGTAATGCATCCCTTAGAGCAATAGACCATGGGACACCAGAGGACCAACATTCAAATTGAGGAAATGCAGGACAAACAGGAATACATAAATATGAGGGGCACAGGGGAAGGGTTACAGGGTAGGGAGGGGAGGAGACTGGGTTAAGGTTGGACATGATAAATGGGCAATGAAACTAAATGTACATGTTATTGTGAATGTAAAACAAGCTCTTAAAATAAAAATTCAAAAAACTAGCACATTATTTTTTATTAATGCATGCAGTCAAAAGGTATTAATTTATATATGCCTAATAACCTTTTTACAGATGAATTTTATACTCCAGTGTACTTTTTTAAAAATTTAATTTTATTGTTGAGAATATACACAAATTGTACACGAATTCAACCATTCCCACATACATCAGTTCAATGATGTTATTACATTCTTCAATTTGTGCAAACATTTCCACCCTAATTTCTGATTAGTTCCTTCCCCATTAACAAATTCACTGCCCAGTATGGTTCCTCTTTAATCTGTTGAGTTGTTGTTGCTAATTTGATCACATATCGACAGTTCTTAAAAGAGCATAATGCCCAAGGGAGACATTTTTTAC